TCCCACCTGAATTTATTCTGAGCCTTAACACACCACAGGAGCACCACCACTGGATTCCCAGAGGACAAGAGCTTAACAACCACCACTGCACAACCACAGAAGGACTAGACCTTTGCTTCGACAAAGTCATATCCACCACTCCAATGGGATGGCATCCACCTTTGCACTAGACTGTGACCACCACCCTGTCCAAAAGGGTATCAAGTCATATTCTAACTTTTCCACTTTAWCACCTTAAGCCAGTGTTTCATTACAATTCCCCGTGTTTTGATTTACATATTAAATTGTAATTATGACTTGGAGTCTCTTGCAAAATATTTGCGGGCAGTCAATCTCAATGCTGGTTTGCTTTTACACGAGCACACACCTGCTCCTATCGGTGAAGGAACAACTTGTACAAGAGAGCCTGTGTGAAGCACAAGGTACCAACAAACAAAGCTACTTATGCACTCCCTAAGGAAAACAACATTGTGTTCTGAAACATGACTGGACATTGCATGACCGTAAAATGACCATGCAACAGCAAAAGCAAATACAACATAAATTGTGCTGATATGGATTACATTTTTGATCTAACTGGAAGTAATATCATTCCCAGAACACAGTTCCTAAATTTTGTCTTGAAAAGATCAAACGTTCTAAACCCACTTTCAAACCTGTGTAAAACTAATGGGTGCCAATGGAATTCACTGAACAGGTCAACTTTACCTCAAACACACACAAACGGACAGAGACCAAAACAGCAAACCTAGCAATTTGTCAGAGTTCCTACTTAGCCAGTCACTTCCCCATCCAGCCCTACTTTCTTTCAGATACCCCAATCACCAATACCTGTAACCTCAGAAAAAACAAATGGTTCAAGTCGACAAAGAAAACTAATTTCATATACCGAAAAACATGCACCCATGTCACCAACGGTATGGTTTACATAGCAAGAATAATATTACATATTGATACATCTTGCATCTGACACTTCTGTTATACTCTTGTCAGAAAAAGCTTTGCACAGCACTTTTACTTTTCTGGTAAAAACCTTTACATATGTGCAGAACTTAATGACTCTTCTCATATAAACTTTTCTATTGACGTAATGTAAGAATTATTTCCTTGATGCATTGCACAATGGTGAAAGTAATGCCAGAAATATCCACTACGTCCTGAATGCCCTGCCTACTCCCCAAATTGCTCATGGGGTCGTCTTAATCCAGTTCCACAAGCAGGCAATGCAAAGGTCAGTCTCAGCTGTGTTACAAAGCAGTTACAGGACACTAATTCACAAATACAAGAAACACACCTGACCGCCTACCAAGATGAGAGAGCCTGAGAACAAAAGGGACACTGGTTAGCGCCTTTAGGGCCATTTACATAAGAAAGGGAAGTGTAAAGCACAGATGCTGGTATCTTAGAGCTATTGATATTAGACAGATACCTTGAGGCTTCACTGACACCAGGAGCAACACAGCCTTTCTGATCCAGTACCATTCTTAAGGAAGCTAGGATTAACAACAAATTTTCCGTATAACTGCAATTTCCTTATTATGCAACGTGTTCTGCAGAATTATTCAATGTTATAACATCTTGTTTCTTCAATGACTATTCTTCATTAGCAACACATGAAAAATACACACAAGGGGCAAAATCCTGTCAGGGATCATTTCAAAACCAGCCCAGTAAGTCCAATATGCTTCAGTATATTGTGGTTTTATAATACTCCTCAACTACGTATGTTTACCTGTCAGTGAGCAATT